ATTTGTAAGGTAGAATTGGGGTCATGATAGTGGGAGGGAGGAAGCATTTAGGAACTAGAGGAAAATTTCATCGTTGCTGCACTGCACCCTGACTGGCTCATCTCCCCGCGACCCTTCCGTAAGGGGATGTCCAATTGCCTACAGATGGGCTTTGAGTCTCCACTCCGCACTCCCCCTCATTCACAATGATATCTGAGACATCTGTGCTCCAATGTTCATTGTGGCACAGTTCACAATTGCAAGGAGTTGTAAACAACCCAAATTTCCATCAACTGACGAGTGGATTAAAAAAACTGTGGTACATACGTACAATGGAGTACTATGTATCGCTAAAAAGCAGTGATGAACGTATGAAGCACATCGCTGCATGGGAAGAACTGGAGGAAATCATGCTAAGCAAAGTAAGCCAAGCACAAAAGGACAAGTACAGCATGAGTCCGCTGAAGTAAACTTTAAAAAAAGAAAAAGAAAAGCAAAAGGGGCATAGGGAAAAGCTACTGTACACAAACATTCCTGGGGCGAGGGCCAGGCAGTAATCTTGATGGAAGCAGGTGGCCACATAGTTCTCCTGCAGAACTGCTTGTGGGTTCCAACTGCCAAACTTTTGGATCATAGCCAACTGCTTAACCACTGCACCACCAAAGCTCCTTAGAAGCCATGCTAAGTCACAATCATTTCTATTAAATTTTTTGTTATGAAATGTCTAAATGTCTAACAGACACAGAATCCAATTCAGACAATAGTCCCAGGATTTGGCTCTAAAGCCCCTGATTTAATGAAACACAAATCATCTAAAGGCCGCTTTAATAGTGAGATTAAAGAATACATTTTCCACTTGATCAGCTGTGGCTTATGGAACAAAATAATATTTTGCAGGGGTTCAAATCTTTAAAATGAGAAGACAAAGTTCTAAGCCTACCAATTTATAAAACTATACTGATAAATTAGATCAAAATGTCAACTTTTCAACCATTATTTACATTTTTGTTACATTATCTCTATAGCATGTCAGTGCATTTTGCAATGTCAGGGAAGAAGAGGAAATTACTTGAAGAAATATGAACTCTGTCCTTCTTGTACAGTCAGGGATTCCAATATATGGTCAAGAATAACACAAGAGGCCCTCACCCTGAATCCCTATGTGGTGGAGTGAAGCTGCTTAAATATGGTTCTTATATTCATTCCCCTGTCACTCCCACCAAATGATTGGGTGGAATTATGCAAATCAGGTGTGTAAAACAATCCTGGAAGTGACTGGCCAATTTTTGTTGCCATACTTCTGTGAATAGAGAGCCAACAGAGAAAGGATCACAGAATCGTCAAGAAAGAGCAGTCACCAGTAGAGCACATGGGAGGTCCCTGTATTAAGTGGCAGAGGCAGCAGATGCTGCAGAATTGAGACAAGAGACCAGGAGACTGGAAGGCAGGGCAGCACACAGCTTTCCTAGTTCAGGGAGACAGGGGACAATGTACTAAATGACTGAGACGCTGAAGTCCAGAGAGATAATTGGCTGCTGGCTGAGAAACAGCACTGCTGGGAATCCAAGACTGTATTCTGAATTTTTCTTATCCTGACTGGTGGTAACCTGCTAACTTCCCTAGTAACTCCCCACATTCTGAGTACCGTCTGTGTGTTCTGTGCAACTATTGCTAGAGACTATCAAGCTCTGCAAAGATCTGAGTACTGTAGGAGGAATGGCTTGTGTCAGAACAGGTTAAGAAAAGGATGTAGGATGCAATCATATCTGACCTCTAGCTGTGGCATTTGGCCTTGGGTTGGTGTGGACGATGCAGTCCCCATGCCATTTGACACAGCACCAGTTAGGAGAACCTTGTCTGAAAATGGACTCCAGATCTTAGGAAATTTGTCCTTGGCTCAAATAAAGTAAACTATTTATATATCAAGAGTAGACTATAAAAAAGTAAACCTGAAATGGGCTTAGAGTCTTCAGTAACAAACAAATTCATTTCAAACAAACAAAATAGATTAGAATACTCATATATGACATGAATTTAAGTAATGAACTATGGAAATGAGTAAGAGGACAAAACTTCAACTCTTCCAGGGCAGGAATCTTTCTTTAGGTCTGTACATCTTGATACTTTATGGCAGCGGTTCTCTACCTGTGGGTTATGACCCCTTTGAGGATAGAATGACCCGTTCACAGGGGTTGCTTAAGTCCATCGGAAAACACATATTTCTGATATCTTAGGAACCGAGACCCTGCTCCTCTATCCATCTCCAGGCAGGTCCACCCACATGCAGATACACCCACATACGAGTACCCAATGCGGTGACATCATCGCGCCAACCCCATCACATACACCCCATAAAAATACAGGTGTATATGACAGGGTTGGCACTATAATGTACTTATATGGACCAGTCACATATGTGTAGAGAGCAGCTACTGTGTAAAAAGCAGCTGCTGTGTTGAAAGCAGCAAGCAGTATTGGAGGG